AAGATTGGAGCTTTAAATCATTAGCAATATCATTCCCAAGTCATCCATGCATACCAGGAAGGATTTTGATGGCAGGTTGGAGTCTTCTAAAAAGCTACGAGCACATATACTTCAATACATCATCCCAGTATCAAATTGAACCTCCAGATATTGGTCAAGGACAATGCCGATCTCTTGCTACAAGTTCATCTGATCTTCTTGAGAGTAACGTGCTCTTCACATAATGTACACACACTGAGAAGTACTAGACTTAAACTCTAGAATAAACCAAAAAAATCCACCAATCAGTCTGTTCTACTAACAAATGCTTTTCGCGCTCTTGATGCAGCATTTTCCAAGTTTGGGACAGTCATCAGGTTCCCACTATCAGACATGTAGAAGTAATTATAGTTGATCCTAGTAACTAAATCAGCCAAATGAGGAAAGTTACCCACATTGAGCTTGAAAGAGAGGACCTGCATAGCACACCACAAGTGAGATGCAAACTTTTAAAGTAGAGAATTGAACGGAGGCCAAACAGGGGAAGGTGGAAGGTTGGATTACTCTTAGGAGGAAAGCAATGCAATCATCGAACTGTTTCTCAATGCGATCAATTTCCATTTCACATTTGGCCTTAATTGCAGAAACTGCTCCGCCACTAAGAGTCTGCTGTACGGTATAGAAGTCTAATGCTAATCCAAGAATGCTGTTGATTCTGCTTGCAATGAGAGCCCACTGAATGCAAAAGAGAACAATAAAGTCTTTGATTTTTTCTATAGAAGGGTCACACTGAATATAATATCCAGATAAAAAAATAAGAGAGAGAGAAAGAGAGGGAGAGAGACCCACGAGCTTATCTGGGACTACAAAACACTGCCGCTGAATCGACAACAAGTAAGACTCATGAACTTCTATAACTTCGTCCAAAGAACGAGCGGCTGCCATACTCTCACAGAGGTCCTGCCATGCACTGTGATATACCTGATTATGAAATACTAGTCAGCGACCATATCATTTCATCATTTAGCATCTATACAGACAATCATAAAAAGAAGTAAACAAAACAAAAAACGAACAAACTAATGGGAATTTTATGCTAATGGAATGCGCATTCTATTATTACGTTCCCACAGGTATTAGGTTGCAAATAGAATCCAACTTTCAGAGTTGATTTCATAGATTAAAGTCTTACTCTGTCCATCACATATTGGTGAAAGGCATCCACAAAATGGAGAAGTTTTTGCTCCACCAACCAGTGATGCTTACAGTAATTTGTTGCAGTACCTCTTCCCTGCAAATGAAAATGTAATTAGGAAAAAAATAATCACATCATAGAAGCACCACATCACATTTTAGTGAAGAACAAGTCCAATCATCATTAGTTCTTATATAAAATAGTTAAAATTGTTATATGCCATATTGTTGACAAGGAAAAAAAAAAATGTACTTGGATGCCTGGACAATACTGCAAGAAAGCAAATGAACAGAAATAAACCTTCCACATCCACCTCCGAGCTTTATCAAGAAGAAATTTTGCACGCTTGACCTTCAATAAGAAACCCATCACCTGCATTGCATTAAGAACGTCATGATGAAATGAAATTACATTCTAAGAGCATCTCCAATGCAATGTCAAATTTCTAAGCCAATGCCAAAATATGGCATTTGGGTAAGAACCATTCTCCAATGCTATATGCTTAATGTCATTTGGCATGCAGTTGCTATTGGTAGATGTGTCTACTTTTTCACTTAATAATTACAACCTTGCCATTTTCAATTTATTTAAGGTTTTAAAAATCTTACCTTATAAGTTCCAAAGCATAAAATCTATATGACCAAAATTATGTATAGCATTATACATCGGAAGTTGGAACACAAAATAGAGCAACATATTAAATCATTAATGTGTCATTTTTACCCTTGTTTGTGCTAGCATTATACGGTTTTAGATTTTTACACCTATAAATAAATGTGAAAATAGCTACCTGGTTATACTTCTTGATTGCCTCAGTATTAGCAATGAGTTCCAATGGCCACGAGACCTGTTGCAATCAGAACCTACAAACATTTAAAAAAGCATGAACGGAAAATAAAAGAGAGTGATTCAAAAAAAGACCTTGTAGGTAAACTTTAGTAAATCAAGGTCACTGATTCCAAAGATTTGTGCACGACTTCCATGAGGAGTTGTTGGAATGGTATCAGTGTACGATTGCTCTGTGCTATTTGAACCCTGACTTTTGGCGAGGGACACAATTAATGAATCTGGAGCACTTAGTAGCACACTATCAGCGGAGTTTCTTATAGACTCCTGCAGCAAAACAGTATAAATATTTCGATTAAAAGAGTATAGGAAACTCCAAAAAAAAAAAAAAAAAAAAGGCAGAGCAATATTAATTACTGTCAACACCGAAGCATGGTCTAAAACATTTAATACAGTAACATACAACGACAAACACATCTTATCCTAAAATCAATGGTGTGTATTGTGTTGTGACTTGTGTCCATAATTTAATATAGCATCCTTAGAGAGCAATATTTCACCATTCATGAAAGAAAAAGAACAATGCTATAAAACTAAACAGAAAGATGCTTGTTCTTGTTAAAAGGAAGAAAGTCAAGAAAAATTCAATGAACCTATAAGATAATACAATGAACTTTTAGAATATACTGCACCTGTAATATGGTGTTTAACTCAAAGTCATCATCCCACGTTTCTCCTTTATCCAGCTTATTGAAAATCACAGTTAAAAAGTGCTGTAACAGATCACCTACAAAGAGAAAGGAACATGTCGAGGGAAACTAGTGTCTATCAAGAGACAGAGATATTAGATTTTTCAACTTACAAGATACCTGATCCTAACAAGTAAATGGCACGTAAAACCGCAAGCTCATCCATTAATCTCCAATCATCCATTAATTTTGACAATATGTCCTTGCCAATGCAATCGACCTATGACAGAAGTCAATTTTAAAAATATGCCTCCAAGCAAAAAAAAAACACACACACACACACACACAAAGACGCCAAACTTCTGGCTCAATGACACGATTTACCTGCTTTTTGATATAGACAGTAAGGCACTCTTGCATTATAACAACAGGAAGTATATTATTTTTGGGCTCAAAATTCTGAATCCAGCTGAGAACTCTTGATGGAAGGGTGCTCTTTTTCTGGAAAGGTAAGAGCTCTGACAGACGACAATCATCCTGTTTCGAAGACATATAAGGATATCTTAAAAATCCGCCAATGAAATCTACAAAAGCTAAATCATAATAATAATAATAAAAAAACAAATTGTCATTTTATACTTTTGTTGTGGATTGAAATTTGATGCTGTTTCGCATTTTTAGCCATCTTCCAATTAATTTCTGTTTTTTTTTTTTTTTTGGTCGTTGTTTCACGGAACTCGTGAAAAAAACAATACCTGAATGGAAGGAAGAACAGTAGGAAAAGGAAAGATCACTTCTAACATCTTAGAGTCATCTTGTGAACGAAGATGTTCTGATTCACCAAATCCAAAACCAAAAGTGTAGTTTGTTCCTTCAACTGCAGGAAAGGTGCGACAATCCTTACCGAATATAGCCTTTCGTAAAGCCTCATCATTTAGAGGGGGCAAATAAAAATTTTTGGATAAATTTAGTACTTTCCAGGAATTCCTATTCTTGGAAAGATTCCCTTGGCATACAGTAATAACTGGATTTTCAGGACAGAAGGATCTCAAAAGAGGCAGTCTATTTGCATCAGCTGCAGTCATTTTCACTTCACTTGTTTCAGCTAGATTATTTCCATCCTTAAATCCAGATGTAACATAAATCAATCCTTTCTCCAAGAGTGTATCAACCAAAAATTTATACCAAATTTTTTCAAAGCAAGTCATAGGCAAACGCTCAATTTCATTACTTCCAACTTTTTCTTTTCTCAAACAAAATCCAAGCGATTGATGAATCTTGGTTTTACACCAGTCATCTTGGCAAAGATATCTGAATATGCGATCACCGTGACCTATAAGACCTGCTACCGACACACAAAAAACTTCTGACAATGTTAAACCTGCAATGCTTTGACCATGATGAAAACCATCTTTTGAATTTCCATAACCTTCGTCAATTTTAAAATCATTTCCTCTGCCATTTATTCCTGAAGAGATCATTGGAATATGCCGAATCAGCTGCAATGACTTTCCAGCAGAAACAATTGCCTTAGCTATGTCCTTGATAAACAGAGGACCATTGCTCTGTTCCTTCCCTTTGGCTCTAGCCATCGCGATGGATTCCCTTTGGCCAACTTCCTTTTTGTCTAGTGGGGAGGAAAGCTCAGAATCTAACTCTAGACACTGTGTTCGTCTGAATAGGTAGCTTTTTTCCCAGAAGTCAGCCTCGTCAATAGAAGTTGCTTTATTAGCATAAAAGAACATCTGCAAAGAGGGGATATATGATCAACAAAGTTTTATAGGGAATAAATCACACTTCAAAGTCAAAAACAACTCAAGTATACCGCATATACAAAAATTAAAATGGACATATAATATCGTGTATACAGATGAGAGAACAAAATCAAACTTACCTCCTCAAAAGGATCATCAAGTGTGCCTTCAAAAAGCCATGAATCAAGACCTTCGATATAAGGCAACAAACTCCCAATAAACATGTGAAGTATCATCTGATATTCTTCCTCCTGAAAAGATTACAAGGTCTAAATTTTGATGGCGTAATGGGGAAAAGTGTTCCGAGTAACTAACTGTACAGTGTACACAATAACAACGTAGCAAGAAAGTGGTCACAACCTCACCACCTTGCACTAGACACACTTCATCTAGCTTCTTGTAAAGAAAGTCAAGGATATGAACTGCCACATCAGCAGCTGGAACAGAAGAATTAGACTCGAAATATACTAGAGGAATGGCACCATGCACTGTTTGTAATAGATACTCAGCACCTGAGCAAAGACTAATATCAATAAACAGTCATCAGCAATCTACATGACAACAATAAACCAACACACACATTATCCATTGATGCAACATCAGCAATGGAAGCAGTGACATTTTATCCAAATGATAACACATGCACGTTGCTTTCCGAAAATAAAACAATAAAAAAATAGGAAAAAAAATTCCAGTACACGAACATGTTATCAAACCTTAAAGGTTTCCTAGAGAGTTTTCTGGGTGATGAAAACAAATGTCTCATCTCCTAAACTTATCGAATTAGTTTATGGGGCTGACAAAATAACATTAAAAAAAACAACTATGAAGGAAAAATATCAACTCAAACTTTACACCAATTTCCATAAGCACGGCTAATATTAAAAGAATAATTGCAGCCTCGTTCATTTCACCGATTCGAGTTTTTAATTTTAGGTTTTTACAGTTAAAAACTCTCAGAAAATATCACATCTAACTTTTTCTGCTACTGTTAAAAGCTCTAAAAAAATATCACATATCAACTCGAATTGAAAACTCGAATCCGCGAAGCGAACAAGACCTACATATCGACTTAATTAAGATAGAGTTACAAAAGCTACTGCAAACAAACCTAGATAATGAATTCGTCAATCCCAATAAGGTAGGAGTAGTTCCAGTGCCAGCATTGCTCATCTTCGTTTGTTCCTTTAGAGCAATATCACGTAATCTCTGCGACAAAAACAAGTTAAAAAAAATGAAATAACGTATTCTCACTATAATGATTCACCATCCAAATACGTACCCGAAGCCAAGCAGATGCAGAGCAAGCAAATGCCCTCAAGGTGGGTGGAGGCGATCTGACCCATTTCTCAATTTTAGTGACCAAAATTCCCACTAGTTGTAAACATGTAGCGGCATACATAAACTGATTAACAACGGCGTGAAGACTTGTCTGAGAGAGGTGCGTAACATAAATCCCAGTTTTGGCACGAAAACGTTTTCCATCATCGTCCCAATAAAACAAGGAGCTCGAAAATCCTTGTAACGTTTCAAGTACACCTCGCACCTTTCAAAAGAGTTTTAGAAAATTGTTTTGGGTTGAAAAAGCATAGAGGGAAAAAAAGAAAATAAGAAAATAAGAATTGGGCATTACCACGTCGATTTCAATTGTGCTCAAAGAGGAAACTGGTGCTGCAAAATGAATGCTATCCGAAAAGCCACTGTAGATCTTATTGATAAAGCTTTTAGAAACCTCTATTTTCCCCGCATCTGATAAAAAATTAAAAAAAACAACAACAACAAAGTTCCAATCTTTATGCACAAACCAGCAATATTATACAATTAAACTCAAAAGGGAAAATACGAGAAAACAATACCGTAGCAAAGCGGTTTTCCCATCGAGATAATTGATGTAAGGAAGCAGTGAAAGCTTCAACGCAATAACAACCGAAGCAAGAAGGCCTATATTCGTAGAATTAACAAAATAAAATTACAAAAAATATAAAGAAGATATTGATCAAATTGGGGTTTCCTGCAAAAAGAATTGGGGAATTACCTGATCAAAAGGCTTTAACAGATCGAGTTGAAGTCAGAAAAACTCTCTAAGTAGAGAATGTGGGTTAGGGTCGCAGATCTGCGTACAAGCGATTGAAGCCGAAAAAGTGTTTTGGGGTGTGCCCTAGTTCTCCTTTTCTTCTTCTGATTCTGCTGAATATTCGATCGCCGGACGAAGGCCGAGAGAATCTTGCAGAGTGGAGTGAAGAGTGCGACTCTTTTCCGATGAGTTCCCGCCGACGTTTGGCGCAGAGAAAATGGATTTGAAAATTCGGAGTATTTACGAACAGGCCAAGACGAGGCAAAGTTATTGCCACGCGGAGAGGTTTTATTGGTTGTTCGCTTCCCTGGAAGGCTGGAACGAAGAGAGATTGGCCCGGGTAATTACAATTGAAAAGAGCTCTAATTTAGATAGCTAACTTTTTACGATACAATTTAACCGTACTCTCTATTATAATTAGACATCTCTCTGTTATGACTATGATTGGCGATCCGGATAACGATATAATAATACTATTTAAAATTTGTATAAAATTAATAGATTTAAATTTATTATAAATAGGCCTTGATTAAAATTAAATTGAATCTGTGAAACACGATTAAATAACGTGTCATTTTTAAATTAATCTATTAATTTATAATTAACCTGTCATAACTTATTTATTAAACATATCATATTTAGATAACACGATTATACTACCTATTTGTTACCCGTTTATCACCTAGGTTAAAAATGTTTCACACTATTTATTCTTTCTTTCTACCTCTAACCTCTCCATTCTCGCGCCGCCTCACACCACCTCACCCAAGTCCAGCATTTCTACTTTTCTTCTCTCTCGACTCTCGTCTCTCCTTTTCTCTTCTCTGTGACTCTCCACCGCCTGAGCTCTCAGTCTATCGGAGGACCACCGCCTGAGCTCTCAGTCCATCAGAGGAAAGAGAAACAGAGGAGAGAGAAAGTTAGTGTTTTTTTGCTTCTTGTTCTTCTTCTTAAAGCTTTCCGCGAGTGCAAAAAATGAAGCTGCTTTCGGATCTCATGAATCTCAATCTCTCAGACACCACCGAGAAGATCATCGCCGAGTATATATATATATATATATATATATATATATATTGTAATAATCTGGGAAGCTTTCGGAAATTTTCATTGTCATGCTTTATCGTTTTGTGTTCATTTTTAATCAATCATTGGTTTTTTAAGTACCCCAAATCGATATGTATATTTGTTTAGCCTCATCAACAAATTAAGAGGAAAAGAAAAAGAATAATACTCATATATATTCGTTATTTTTTCAAAAGAAACATATTTAGTGGATTTTTTTCCCTTTTTTATGATTTCTGAGCGATTATTGGTTATCCGTTTTCCTGTTGTTTGTTTACCAATCTGTGAATTGCTGTTTTGCTTTTAGCGTTAAGGATCATCACTTCATTTTATTTTATTTACATTTTCCTAATGGGTCTATCCATGGAGTATAAGTTCTTTGTGTTGTGTTTGTATTCTTCAACAGGATCGGCGGATCTGGTTTGGACGTAAGAAGCAAAGCAAGAGTAAGAAATTCTCCATTTATATCTATTTATTTGTTTTATTTAGGTTGTTTAATCATTCAAATAATCATGTATTTTTTTTTTTTGGGCATTTGAAGACTCTTCCTGGACCAGTTGGTGATCCTTCAAAGCTTCCCAAGTGGAACTATGATGGTTCCAACACAGGGCAAGCGCCTGGAGAAGACTATTCCTGGAGAAGACAGTGATTTTGTTTCTGTGATATTGTAAAAACCATTCATTTTGAAATGTTTAATTATTAATCATGTACGTATGTACGTTTGTTTTTTTAATTTATGAGACTTTTATGTGTTTATTTTATAATTTGTGAGAAATTTTTGTGTGTTTGTTTTAATTTTGAATTTAGATTATGCAACGTCTCTACATCATGTTAAACAGGTTCAAAATAGGTTGAAAAATAGGTCGACATGACCCATTTATCACTCATTTCATAAATATGTTTAGAAATAGGTTCAGAAACAGGTTTAAAAATAGGTTAAACGGACTTATTAATCACTTATTTCATAAATGTGTTGGTAGGTAATCAGCGGGTTACGGGTTGACACGATACGTTTATGATCTGTTTAATAAACAGGTTAGTCGTGTCATGTCAATCCGTCAATATACGGGTCGTGTTTGGGTTTTGTATTTAGGCATGATTAATAAACGGGTCGTGTTCGTGTTAGACTTATTCGTGTCAACTGAAGGGTTCGATACGACACGAATACAACCTGTCAACACGAATTGTCACCCCTAATTATAACTAGATAGACATATTATTAAGAGTGTTTAAAAAATATGTGAAACTGTGAAAATCGTCTAATCTAAATCAAATGAACCAAATCATTAATTATTTTTAAATTATTAAGTTATTTGGTTAGTTCACTATTATTTTTAAATTATTTATTTGGTCAGTTTTTTTATCTAATTTTTTAAGCAGTTTGGTTTGTAATTTAAAATTCTTAAACTGCCTAATAATTCGCATAAAAATATACATATATAATTTTTTATTTTTAAAATATTTTTTTTATATTTATTTTAATTTTTATTAATCATAATAAATATTTACACTTATAAAATACACTTTATTATATTTTTGTTGGTTTATATTAAAACTTTAAACGGTGAACTTTTAGACACATACTATTTTTTAGTTATATTGTAAAGTTGAATTTTATTTTTCTTTTTATCCATTAACGATTTTAAAATTTTTATGAATTATTAAAAAAAAATTTAATCTTAAGCCGAAACCGTCTAAACCAAACTATCCAAATCACTCATGAGTGATTTGATTCAATTTAATTTTTTTTATCAAAAATATAAAACTGCCCAAACCACTTAAAAGAAAATTTTAATTTTGATTTGGTTGGTGGTTTTTTTTTATAAAAAAAAAACTGTCTAAGCGGACCACGAACACCCGATAACAACCCATAGATTATTTTAATATTTATTGAATATAAAATAAAAAAATACATTTATTGAATTAAAAAAATAACTTTTATATTTATTGTGGTTTGAAAGAATAAAATAGTAGAAAAAACAAATAGTTAGTCTCTTCTTATTATTAGTTAGTGTGAAATGTATTCTTTAAAATAGTTAATCATTTAGTTAATAATTATAGTGGAGAAAAGCTAAAAAAAATTAAACCATTAGTTATTTTAACTAAAAAGACTAATATAATTAAAAATGTTCTAACAACAAAAGTAGCTATTAGAAACGTTAGAGGTTAGATTAGATATATAAATTGTCGTTTGGATAAACAACAATTTATTGAAAACGACGTTAATGATACTAATAACTAGTCGACCACACAGAGGAAACATAAAAAATCCACCATTAAACAGCAATAAAACTTGAAAACCACGATAAAAAAGGCTAACGCCAACATAGTTTTTTTCTGTACTTGTTTACAAATTACGCAGCGACCCGAAAATGAAAGTCAATGCAAAAGGATCAATGAAAGGCGTAAGTCAAGCGTTAACTTTAATTGGAAGAAAAATGTAATCCTAATATCTAAAAAGGCAAAAAGGAAAAAAAAAAAAAAAAAAGAAGAAAAAGTAACGACTACACATTACACAAAGCCAAGTAATGACAAATTCATTAGAAAAAAAAAAAAAAAAAAAAAAAGGTAATGGACAAAAGAAACTCAACACCGTAATAAGATCAAAATGCAACTACACTTGAAAACTGCAACAAAACTGGAAAACGACAAGAAAAATAGGCGATCAGCAAGTGTTAACAAGAAGTTTTTTAGTATGTAAATTGAAAACGCAACGATCTAGAAGACACTGCGAAAACACAAGTACTCAACTGCGAAGGCACCTACGCAAGGCTTAATTAGCGTGAACAAATTTAATCGGAACCAACCGGGCCCTTAATATCTACAAAAAATTATATATGTACAGCGTCTTTCGTTCATAGTACATATTAATCTTCTACAGGTCAAGTATGAGTTTATTAGACAACTGGAAGCATAAGGCAGAACACTTGCTTCCCTTACAATCGACTTTTAGTTTCGTTCCATAGCAGGAGCTATGCAAATGGCTTCCCTTATCAAGAGCAATGCAATTTTTGTTAACTTCACAGCATCAAGAGGTCTTTCTTTGTAAAAAGTACCATTTTCTTGTGGGGACGCTAAACTTTGTTGCCTCTTTTAGAGGAGTAGGATTTCAGATTATAGTTATTTCGATTTTGATTATGCAAGTGTCCAAGAGGAAACGGTGTTGCCAAAATATGGCATACTTCCACTTGTGGTGCCTGTCCTTGGGCGTGGAGAGATCGACAAGAAATTGATTTTATGTTTGTCGCGGTCTCTTCGAGCGTGCACTTTATCCTACAGAGATTGTTTGCAAAAACATGTCGTGGTCAGCACATAAATCATAATCCTACATCTGTGTTATTTAGTTTGTTTTTTTGCAGACCTGTGCACTTACCATTAGGTTCATTGTAGAGAAATTGTGTGTTGCGGCTGCTACATTGTGGTCGTGCGAATTCCGAATAAAAGGATGGTCGAGTAGTATAGCAGCTGATGGACGCTCCGCTGGGTTTCGCCGGAAACAACAATTCAGGAAATCCTTTCCCTCTGGTGACAATGTTTCTGGTATAGGTGGTGTTTTGTTCAACACCTTGAACATAGCTTGAGGCTGCAAAAGACAAACAAAAAATTTCTTTAGATGCAATAAAGTTGGTCAACGCCTTGTTCATCCATACAAATGGATCAAAGTTCTACTTCTACAAGAAAAGCCTAATATTTCTGCGTTACATTTGAAGAGCCAAAGTTTAGAGGCATGTGAGAAGTTTAAAAGGCCTAAAACTAATGCAAACAAGCATAACATGTTAAGTCACTTACCCCTGTAAACTCACACCAAGGAGGTCTGCCATTCAGCATCTCGATGATGGTACAACCTAAGCTCCATATGTCAATGGCCAAGGCAAGATCAGGATTGGTGCTCTTCTGCAGCACAGCTTTTATGACCTACAAAAACCGTCTTATTACAAGGAACTACAAGAGATACAAAATTCAAAATTGTAGGACTTGTCTGTAAATTGGCAACTTGAAATACCTCTGGAGCCATCCAGTATGGACTCCCCTTCAAAGAAAGATTACACGATAGTCCCGAAAGCTGAGTACACAAACAATGATTTAGATACAAAAATTCGCCTAAAAGAATTGTTGCAGGCTTAAAATAGGAAGTTAATCACACATATAAGACATGATCAAATTATGGATCTCTATAATAAACCAAAGCTTGTCGAAATATTGAACTCACATGTTTTGCCATTCCGAAATCAGCAAGCTTAACCACGCCTGAAGCATCAACAAGCAAATTTGCGCCTTTGATATCCCTGCAGAGCATATGAAATCTCCTCTCTCAAAACATTGTATATGTTAAATATTTCTACAAATAATCAATTACTCTATTCTCCCTTAGCAAGCGTCACAATTCTCACCTATGGATTGTCTTCGTGCTGTGCAAATAAGCCAGTCCAGACAGGATATGACGGGTGAAATTGCGAACAACGGATTCTGTGACAGCTCCACAATGTTCATGAACATATTTGCTGATTGATCCAGGATAAACATACTCTAAATATATGTAAAAGTGGTCATCAACCTGAAAACAGTACTAGTCAAACAAACTTGCTAAAGGGTCACATTAAGTAAATGAATTCTCCCAATTAAAATCCAAGATGAACCAAACATTGACTTACTATTTCACTCCCATAATATTGGACAATGTTTGGATGCTTTAATTGACGCAGAACTTTAATTTCCTGAAACAAATCTTAAGTCGGACCGTCAAAAAGTTGTAACAATAATTTCTGTATAAATTAAATAAATTCAGAGAGATTCCAGGAGTGACCTGCTCTAATTGCTTTATGCATTCAGCAGATTTAGGATCATCAGGAATAAGATCAACTTCCTTCATAGCACATAAGGCCCCAGTCTCTCTGTAATATAGATAAATATATTTTTAAACACATAAATAATTAAGATACATGAATCTAGTTAATAAAATATTTTTAATCACATATACAATTAAGGTACATGTATCTAGTAACAAGCTCAGTATTAGCTTTATAATCATACCTGTTGGTTCCAAGATAAACACTACCAAATGTGCCGCGACCGATGAGTTTCCCTTTCTGCCATTGGCTTTTCATTGATGGCACACTTAGAGGTTCCACGTTATGATGAAGGGCAAGAGGTTGTGATGCAACATTAGCCCCCGGAGGAAGAGGCAATGGATGGGCATTGACATGAGAGTTACTTTCGGGCCTCTCCGCATTACTCGTCTCTACCAGTGATGTATTATGGAAGGGAAACGAAATTCCCTTAGGATTTTTGCTTTGATTGTGCAGTACGTTTCTGTTTATGGGGCTATGCACTGGAGAATTCTTCGCACTGAGCAGGATTTTCGCCTTATGAACGTTGAGATCACGAAACTGTTGAGGTGCCAAGAGCAGAGGAGACGTATCACCTCGCGGGCTAACGGCGGGGCTCGAGAAGACGCTTGTTGGAGCACTCTTGGAAAGAACACTCGTCCTCAAGTTAAGAGGCTTGACTGGTTTTGGCTCCTCCTGTGCACGGCAATTTGGAGCACAAAAATGGTATGAGTAATTATTACTAACGGCATGAGAAGAAGGCAAAATGATGTCCCCGGCGTTTAGTCTTAAAGGACAAATCGGAGAACTCGAAATCGGAATCGCAGTGTTCTTGGCCGAAACATTGTTATTCGGCCCCAAGCTGTCATGAAGAAGAGTTCCCACATTTGAATCCTGAGAGAACCTCCTCTGACATAATTTGCTTGAGATTTTCGTTGTTTGATCCGTCCTTTTCCTGATATACCAGGGCATGTAGATTAACATCATTACAGTTCTACCAAATAAAAAATATCACTAATATTAAGATACTAAATAAATAAATAAATGCAAATTCACCTGTCAAGCGGAGAATCAGGTTTAGGAAGCGGCAAAGGATGTGGGAGAGCGGAGAAGGACCAATGGTCGGGCCCACAAGGAGACCTCGATTTCCTAGCGGAGTCAGGCGAGGCAGGGGAGGAGCGAGAACGCTGATCGTTCAAGCGGCTGCTGAGGCCGAGCTCGTGGTTGCTGACGTAGCGGAGCTTCCTCTGCCGCGTGAGCCGCCGCTGGGCGAGACAATCTTCTGGTTCTGGTTCGTTTAAGAAATTGTCGGCGCTGCGTTGTTTTTGCCAAGTACGTGCAGAGGAAGAACAAGAAGGAGAAGCAGAATCATAATTAGAAGAAGGCATTATTCGGCTGCTTCGATTGCGAGAGTGAGAGGTTGTTGGGGAAGGGAGGTAGGCGTTAAAGCCTTCGCGGAAGAGGGAGAGAATCCCCATCTGTCGTCGGACTATTTTCGGAAACTCATTGGATACTTCTTTTAGAACAAGAGTGAGGAAAGAAAAAAAAATTATATATATATATATATATATATTAGTTCTTAATTAGAATTGCTTAGTCAAGAGTTTGACATTTCGAGTTGAGAAAACCACCGAAAGCTCTTATCTTAAAGGTTGAATCGGGCAAGCTCTTCTTTCTTGGGGACATCGGAGTCAGAAACACGACGCAGGATTTCCTACTGGGGCATGCATTTCTTGCCCAATACGTGTCTCACGGATAAAAATAATTACATATACAATACGGCTTCTTCCTCTTCCTAAGTTGTTGTTGCTGTTGCTGTTTTGTATGTTGGTCAAAATCGTTGTTTTAATACAGGTAATAAACTCAGAAAGTAGAGGCCGGTTGACAACATCTGCGATACTTCCTTTGTGGAAGTAGGGTTCTGCTTTCATTGAATCGTCAACCCTATGTCACGCGTGACCTACAATACTCTGTCCACGAAAGTAAAATTTACTTCATGTCTTCCTATTCTTCTTATTGGAATATTATTATTATTATTGTTGTTGTTGTTATTTAGGAAGTGTTACTGTTAAAATCAAGTCTTTGGATTTTATTTAAGCAAGTCTCAGAGTCAACGCCGAAGTAACCATGTATTTTTTTTTTTTTTCTTGAAAGGGTTGGTGAAGTTTGTGTATAACTTTATGTGCTTAAGCTCTTTACCAAAAACAAAAAAATAATAATAACATAATACTAAAAACTTATTCATGCTGTCCGACCGGTTGAGCAGGTGATTAAACGGCCAAAAGAGCGGAGCTCATTTTTACTAGATAATCTTAATAAATACTTTTTAAATATGTGTAAGTTATAATTTTTATTTTTTATTCTTAATTCATAACATTTTTAATTAAATAATTACACTAATAAAAAAATATTTATAAAAAATAAATAATAAAAGTCCAGACTCATGCACTCTTAAAAATAAATTCTCAATTTTTTCATTTTCACTCTAGTTATTGAAGCCTACATGCTTGCACGTGTGAGGCTTAATGCGAGAGTTAAATTGTTTATTTGAAAACTTTTGAGTTCTTGAATTCTATTATAAAAATAGAATTTCATTATTTTCATTTTCAATAAAAATAAATCATGAGAAAAAAATAAATTTGTTTTATTAAAGTGATAGGACTATGTTGTTAGGAAAAAGTATTCTAACATAAATACAAATGAAAGTAGAATTGATATTATATGTATGTATATAAGTCACCAGTAAGCTACTAAGGAAAAGAAAAGAGAATCCGTTCCGGGTGAAAATCAAGCTATGAGAAAATTAAATGGTTTCATGTGCATAAATTGTGTGCTCATAAGTAAAACAGTACCTAAAAAAAAGGTTATAGTTGCATGATTTACGCCTAAATTCAATATCAGGTATCTCTTTAGTGCAAAGAAAACGAGAGCGAGAGAGGGGGTGAATTTTTCAATGAGCCACAACCAAATCAAAAGGATATATATATATATATATATGTATGTATATATATGTATGTGTATATATGTATGTATATATATGAAAATTTATTTTTAAAAGTCAAATGTAGTCTCTCTCTTTTCACGAAGACAATGAGACTCAAAAAATTGTATGATTTTGAATGAGCTTTTTGAGCAACCAATCTTTTTTTCTTCTTTTTTTTTTTTTTTTGGAAAAGTGATTATATCACTAAGAAATCATATGTACATAAAAGGCGTTTAGAGACTGAATTGTCAGTCTGCTGAGTCCGTAGCCCTCACGAGAATTGTTGTCTAACAAACAGTTAAGGCCCCAATTACAAGCATCATTTTTTTTTTTTTTTTGGAGTATTACAACACCTTAGAATCCAATCAAAGGAGCAAAATACACAAGACATAGACAATGATTTAACTACCTTGATAAAACCAGTAGCTTCCCAAATCCCATGACACGTCCTCAACCTCTCCCAGGAGCATTCCAATAGTCACCATATATCGGTTAATTCAAGTTGCCTTTTTTGCTGCCCTTTAAAAACCCTTCTACAACTTTCATCGTAGGATTGAAATTTTGTTATTAAAAAAATCCATGGCAGCATATTGAATGGTTAAGATTTTGTGGGGAGATTTTTCGTAAAGTGAATGGTTAAGATTTTTTGGGGAGATTCTTCGTAAAATGAAAGTGGGGGAACTATAGAAATACCCATTATATATTATTGTAGTATGTATCATATTGGATTGTTGAATTTTTTTAGGAGCAACACTATACACGAAACCTTTGAAAGAAGACTAAGGGCTTGTTCTTTTAAAGTAAAACTCAAAAAATGTTTAAATTTGAGTTATAATTTTATTTAAATTTATATTTTTTTGTAAAATTTAAGTTTAAACTTGAGTTTGTGACTAAAATCTGAAGTCAAGTTCCTCATTCAACTCAAGTTCCTAAACTCAAACTCAAGTTAATAAACAATATTTTTTTCTATTCTTAAAAACGTCATAACTTTTTCTTTTTAATTCCGATTGAGATGATTTTTTTTATGCGTTCACAATGAACAGACGAATAAAACCACACTCATATATTTTATTAAAATTTTCTATTATCATTGAGTTTTTATTAAAATACTATCTAAATATAAATTCAAGTTTTGACTCACCCAAACACAAACTCAAATAGATTCTCAATTCAAATCATAACTCAAATGTGCATAATCAAACACAAACTCATGTTATAACTTCAACTCAAATTATAACTCAAATTCAACGTAAAATCTACACTCAAATTATCATAACTAAAAAATACAACCGAACAAGCCCTAAGGCCTTGTTCAGTTAGCAAATTCGAGTTGAGATGTGATTTTATGTGAGAGATTTTCATTGTAGTAGAAAAGTTAAATGTAACTTTTTATAAGAGTTTTTAACTGTAATAAAATTATAATTAAAACTCGAATTAGTGAAATCAACTATGCCTAAGAATTATAGGAAAACAACTTTCTTATTTCTTATTATCCAAGGACCACATTGTCTAACATAATAAATGGCATTGGAAACTATTATATATATATATATATATATACTAGTTAGAAAGCATGTGATATACTTGTTAAATCTAACGATAATGTATTTAAGTAGAGCAGATTTAAAGAAAAAATTAGTAAGATAAAATTAAACAATAAAATATCTAGAAAATACACTTGAGAAAATAATATTTAATAAGATAAGAGAAAGAGATATTTAAAAAGGGACACATTTGAGAAAAATTAATTAAGAAGGACGATGCTAGATTAGTGACATATTTAAGAGAAAATATTTTGTAGAGAAATTTATTTCTCTAAAAAAATATATTTACAAGGCCACTTGTGATGTCTTTGGAAAAAAAAAAAAAAAAAAAAAAAAAAAAAAGAAAACAAGAGGGAGGGGATTGAAAAGAAAAACAAAAAAGAAGGACTTAAAGAAAATGAAAAAATAAGGAGGGGCCAAAATATAAATAAAAAATGAAGGAGAGATTAGAAAGCACTAAAAGCATACGTTTCCATTCCTTAGGGGAAAAACTATTTAAGTGGGGATATATTTGAAAAAAATTACTTTAATGAGCAACAAAAAAGTATTTTTAGAATTAATTTTAATATAGCAATATTTTAAAGGGCTTAAAAAAAGCTATAGAAGGGATATATTAGAGAAAAATAATGCAAGATGAGCAAATTAGATAAATGACATTTATGAAAGAAAAATGGTCTAAAAGGCTGTGGAAAAATAATTAAGTAGGATCGCATTTAAAAAAAATATTTTAATCGGGGTAAATGAAAGAGAAATAAGTGAAAAAAAAAGAGTAAGAATGTAAAATATAAAAATTTTAAGAAAAAAAAGTAAAAGAAAATATTTTAATCCGGGTAAATCAAAAAGAAAAAAGTTAAAACGAAGGTAAAAACACACAATATAAAAATTTTGGAAAAAAAACTTGAACCAAAACGAGCGTTTTGGTTGAATGTACTGTAGCCGAAACATTATTTTGAATCTTATATATTATGTATAGATTCATTTACTGCAAATGAACATTTTTCTGATAAATTTTAGGATTCTTCGTATGACTTTTTTCTTCCTATCTAAGAACTAACTTTAATTACCGCCATTCAACAGTATCTTATCAGAGAAACAAATGTTCCAACTAAGCCTTGTTTAGTTGGCCATTATGATTGTGCGTTTTGATTTAAATTGTAGTAATTTGAATTACAATTTAAATCAGTATTTAAATACATAAATAAATTGTAATTTAAATTAAAAATAAAATCTGAACTGTGTTTGAATAAAGTGTTAAACATTATCATTAGAGTTTGATAATCAATTTTATAAAATTTTATTATAAATAACATTAAAAAATATGTAATATAGATCAGAATTTATTTCTCTTTTCGTTATAAACACATTGAAAAAAAAATTATTTAAATCAAAATTGAACAAAAAAAAGTTATCCATAGCATGTCTGTTTTGTTGGTTTAGCTTCTTCAGCCCAATCCGAGCAGATTCACAGTCCAAATCCATGTTTAGTGGGGTTTAAGCAAAATGGGCAGGTCATTTTGAAAAGAATGGCCCAAGTATGAGTTCTACTACCCCCCATCAATTCCACTATTCAAATTGGCAGTTCAATTCACTGATCTTCACTTTTTTTTTGTTTGAAATTTGTCTATCACTCCACAGTAGAGATTCTTTCCTTTTTCATCTATGTTCATTTCACCGATTCGAGTTTATAATTTAAATTTTGCTACAATAAAAAGCTTTCAGAAACAGTCACATCTAACTTTTTTTCTACAGTAGAAAGCTCTCACATAAAGTCATATCTCAACTCGAATTAAAAACTCAATCAGTAAATTAAACGGGTCCTACACATATATGTGTTCCACTTGTTTCCCCTTCTTTGCTATTATTTTACTAGCGTGTTACGTGTAATGGGCTAGGGCTGGGCCTCCGCTTCTTAGCTCGCAGCCTAAGCCCGGCCCTAGCACGTGTGAAGGCCCGCGGCACGGCCTTAGCCCAATTCGGTCCAAGCCCATATTCGGCCCGGCCCAAGCCCGCGAAACAACCCGTGAAACAGCCCATTCTAAATTCTACCGTTGGTTGGGCAAAGGGCCCAACGGGCGGCCAGTGACGGGCCTCCCGTTTGGCCCATCACGGGCCTTCCGTTTCGCACGTGACAGGCCTCCCGTTAGGCTTGTCATGGGCCGTCCGTTGGGCCCTTTGCGGGCCCAATGGTAAAAATCCGAAAATAGCTAAAAAATCCCCTATAAATACTCCTTAATTCCACCCTAAATCTCACACAACAATTCACTCTTAACTTCTCATCTCAATCTCATTCTATCTCTCAACTTGTCTCTTTCATTTTGATTTTAAGCTTTTTTCTCGCGTTCACTCATTTTCTTGCTCTTTCATTTACAAAGTTCAAGTTCAATCAATTTTTAGAAAATGGCCGCACCAAACCTCCCTGATTTTACTGCTTTTCCTGAGCTTGGTGATAAGGTATTTTTTGAGGATGAAATGATGCCTCCCAACCCCACCCCCACAGACCTAAAAAATGCTCCGGTGGATAATGCTTCAGTGCACAATGAGGAAGCTGGAGAACGCAGCAGGGGAAAAAGACCGCGAACTTCTCGGGCATGGCAGCATTTCACCGAGGAGCCCCGACCAAATTCAAAAACAGGTGAAATGGAAATTCGTGCAGTATGTAAATATTGTAAAAAACACTTTTCTAATAAAAATGGTGGGGGTACTAGTCATCTGGATAGACATTAGAAAGTATGTCTACCATTGCACCAAGGTGGGAGTGTGGACTCCCACCAACAAACACTATCACTCACATCACAGGGGTTACAAAATTTTACATACGATGCATAACGTACTCGTGAGGCACTAGCTAAATTTCTAGCTAGTGCCGAATTACCTTTTTCTTTTGCAAATGACGCGTCATTCAAAAAATTCATCCAGACGACCTTCTGCACACAAATTAAACGGGTAAGTAGAAACACAACTCGTTCTGATTGCATGAAAGTGTTTTATGCAATGAGACAATCTCTTGTTGATAATTTTAGGACTTTTAAACGGGTTAGTAGAAACACAAATTTTGTAATCGATTATGACAAACTAGACATCTTACAGTGGTGGAAGAGCAAGATCAATCATTTTCCATCACTGTCTATAATAGCTAGTGACATTCTGACAACTCCAGTATCAACGGTAGCATTAGAGCCAGCTTTTAGCGCAAACAACCGAATTCTTGACGAGAAGATAAGCAGAATGCATCCAGATATCTTGGAAGGACTAATGTGCGTTAAAGACTGGGAAGATGTCAGAAGAAGAAAACAATAATACACAGATGATTTAATGCAAGAATATTTTTCTAACTTAGAAAAAACAGAATCTTCTAAAAGTACTTAGGTTTGTAATTTACTATTCCTAGGCTCTTAGCTACTGCACTCTTTTTTCTTTCGCTAAGGTTTTATCCCGATCTCCCCATGGGTTTTACTTGGCAAGGTTTTTAACGAGGCAGTCATTTATGTGTATTTATTCTTATTATGTCAATTCAATAAAATCACATCTTTTTAGGACATATGATATTTTTTTAATTAAATTTTTTTAAAAAATACAAGGCCCGGAGCCAACCCGTCAAGGGCCTAGGCCCAGGCCCTGCCCTGACCCTTATGGACTAGGGTCGTGGGCCTAGATTGGGCCTGAGTTTTTCTCCTCAGGCCCCGCACAGGCCCGTAAGGGCCTGGTGTTGGACGTGTTGTGCCTGCCTGGTACAGCATGTTTGACACCACTAAACGTGTATGGGTGTTAATTTGCCATATTTTTTTCATTACTAATTATCCATTGCTAGTGTGTGTTCTAAATAATTATTCAAAAAACGTTCTAATTATTCAAAAAACATTAAAAAAAAATTTAACTATATTTTGTTTATTTTTACTTTCTTCAATATATTTTTGGTCATATTTTAATTTCATTATTTGTGCGTGTTCTAAATAATTATTCAAACCCTGAAAAGTATGAAACCAAAATCAATCTAACATATATAAAGGGAGTTGTAAACATATTACAATCATTGTAGCTGCGCCGATTGTCGTAATCAGGGAGAAAACCTTAAAAAAGTAGCATTTCTCCGTCGTGAGTGTGAAGAGTCGCGTTGCTCCCTCGAGAATTTAAAGCCTGAAATCTCATACGGGTACCAATGGTCGCTGTCGATTAACAGAGAATCGAGGGAGGAGAGAGAAACCACAGAGAAAGGAAAGATAAATCGAGACATAACGAACTCATGGAAAGAGAAATGAGAAAATAAAGGGAAGAAAATTAGAAAGAAAAAATAGAAGGGTAAGATTGACAAACTAACATACTCTAAATTTAGCTGAAATTTAAAAATGTTATTTACTTAACATTATTGATTAGAAAAATACTAACATACCTCCCATTCCTTTTATGTTATTAATATCAAACACTTGCATCCGTCGGATTAAAGTCGAACGCTTGTGATGATATGATCCTATATAGACAAAACTACAGCTAATTGCACTAAATCAAATTCATTAAAACCCAAAAAAAAAAAAATTAGAGAAAAAATAAGAGATTGGAATATTGGATATCCTCTGTCGCTTGCGGTGAGTAAATTCGAAAAGCTTTAGATCTCGGTGAGTGGGGTTGCCGGGCCAGTGGTCTCCACCCACTGGTGGGTCACTCCGTCATGACTGTAGCCGAAAGAGAAGTTGCAATTCCCAAGTTCGAAGCCGTCATCATCGGTGGGGAAATAAAGCTCGTGTGCAGATCTTGTAGGTGGAGAAGGACATACACGGTGGAAGAGGAGGAGATCGCGGCGGTGTCGGCGGAGGACAAGCTCGCGTAGCGGAGGAGGATGAAGTCGTGATTTCGTTGTGACCTATCGCGACTGAGGTCGTGATCTCGTCGCGACGGAGGTCACGATTTCGTTGCGACCTGTGCCAAGTAAGGTCTGTCGCAACGAAGGTCGCGATTTCATCGCAAAGTCTAGTCCTTGTCACGAGCTCCTCCACCCCTTCGGACTGGGATGCGCCAGTGTTTTTTTTATTTAAAAAAATTAGGTATGCATAACGTATCCGTATGATCCGGTACGGTAGTCACGCGCTATTAATTAAATATGCTATAAACTTTCATTGAGGTGTACGGATATGTTATATCCTGCATTTTCTCAATTGACATCACTGTTCAAACTAATAAAAAGGCCAAACACGACTGTCCAAAATACTTAGGGATGTTTGGCGGCTTAAAAATTCAAAAAAAATAATTTAAGTTCAAATTTTATTTAAATTCATGTTTTTTTTAAGTTTGAATTCAAGTTTAAATTCGAATTTAAGATTAAAATTTGAGTTTAAGTTTTCTTTTTAACTCGAGTTTAGAAACTCAAAATCAAATTAATGAATATTATTTTTTTTATTATTAAAAATACTATAACTTTTTCATTTTAATTCTGATTGAGATGATTTTTTTTATGCGTTGACAGTGAAAAGACGAATAAAACTCAACTCATATATCCTATTAAAATTTTTCATCACGATTGAGTTTTTATTAAAATACTATCTAAATATAAATTCAAGTTTTGACTTACTCAAATACAAATTTAAAAAAAATTCTTATATCAAATCATAACTCAAATATACACAATTAAATACAAACTTAAATTATAACGTCAACTCAAATTATAATTCAAATTCAACTCAAGAGCTATATCCATGTTACACTCTAAATGAACAGACTCTTACTGTCAGAAAACCCCGCTAAATTTCTTTCTCTGTCCAATCGCGCCGCCGAGAAAAGCCGGCAGACGATCAAAGGCCAGCGGAATGTTCGCAACCACGCTCATCAGTTACACATGAAGGCCGTCCGTTTTCTGGCCAAAACCAAGATTCTAATTCCACTACTTTCATCGCATCAAAGGTTCGTCCCCTTCTCTTCGTATCCGGCCACCGCCGCCACGAACCCTAGGTTTCGTAACTCCTTCTTCGACGAATCCGAAGGCAGTAGCGCAGTCTACAAGCACGCCCTCAAGTTCCAGCGCCCGACCACCATCAGATGGCAAGATCGCCTTTTTAACTCCGCCAGCTTTATCGGCACCGTCGTTCGACCCGTCGAGGCGCTAAACGCTGCCGAGAACGGGAATCTTTGCGCTTACACCGTTCTCAGCGTTAGTCTCCCCCATCAATCAAGAGGAGGCTTTAGGTAAAACGTTATTTCGTTTTTATCAGTGGAATTAGGTGCTTAAACATTTAGAAAATGAAAATTTTGCCTCCGTCTGAATTGTGAGACTATCAGGCTCCGGATTTTTTTATTTTTCTGTTTCTCTTTTGATTCGATCTTTTTTTTTTTTTTTTGTTATTTTGGATGTTTTTCTTTGCCAACATTTAGCTAATTCAAATTGTATGGCCACCAAAAAAAAAAAAAAACACTTTTGCTGAGAGAAGTTTATTTTCCTGAAGTTCATGCCTTACCAGGAAGTGATGCTAATGAGCCAACATCATTTTTGACAGGATATTGCTGAAAGTGCAGGGCGAGATGGCGGAAATGTGTTTCAAACATTTGAAAGAGAATGATCTGGTTTATGTTTCAGGTCGACTTTTTACTTCCACTAAGGCTGATGAGAACGGGAGCCTCAGATTACTCTACAAGGTTAGATTTGCTTAATTTTTGAGAGGATATTCTTTTAGTATCACTACTTGTTTTATGTTTATTCATGAAAGAATATTAATACCTTTAAATGAACACACTCATGTTTGTATGAACTAGCTGTTTTTGCTTCTTTTATTTGCAGGATATGCAAATAAAATCAGTGCCTCGTTAAAAAAATAAAATAAAATAACAATTCTTATGATGAAGGTGCTAAAAAATAAATATTTTCATTATTGTCTCCTGGACGCTGGTTCCGATTGAGACTGTCAGTTGTTTTATACGAATGAAGAAGTATTTTTGAAGGCCGTTGATTTATATAACTAGGTCTAGGAATCAGCTGAAATTTGGCATGCAAGAGGCTAGTAGATTTACTAGTTATTTCACGTCCACTTCCCTACTTATTGCTACATAATTGTTCATTTTTGCTCCTCAGGTACTAGTGAAGGAGTTGAATTATGTAACACAAAGACGTGATCCAATTTCTCAAAAGTATGAAGAACCAGAATCTGCTGAAGGTACTTTGTCTATATTCACTGCTTTAATTATATCTGTTGTGATAAAGAATATCATTAACTTAGCCTAGTCTAATGGTATGTGTTGTGGTCTTTATTTCTTATTTATAAATGTCACATGCTATGACATGTGCTAATTTTTGAGAATAACATTAGCTTATACGCAATCCGCAGCACTTTCCTCTATGTTGTCAAGCTTGAGTTGGTTGGAGTTGCTCTAAAGGATGATATGTGATTGCTATACTGTGCCGGGGCGGACTTTTCTATATGCTCTTTCTGCGCTTCACTGTGCTTTTCTTTTTGTGTATTCTTCAAAGTTTCTCTTGTGGCAAATTTAGGTAGAGCAGCTCGTTTGGAAAAGTGGAGGGATCGTCTACACTTGTGGCAAGTGTTTTTCAGCAACCCATATGAATGGTGGGATAACAGGAAACAGAAGTTGTATCCAGGAAGCCCCGATTTCAAGCACAAGGATACTGGTGAAGCTCTCTGGTTGAGCCCAAATGATCCGCCATGGATTAAGAAACAACTCCAACTGCTTGATTTAGAAATGGGCCTAGGTGAACCGGTAGGTTGCCGAGCTTGTCTTTCCAAGTGGGAATATGATGCGTAGGGAGGACAAGCATTAGAAGAAAGGGTGGTGGTAATACAGACTTGGTGCATGATTTTTAAGTCATTGTGTTTCCCTCACTAATACTGCTTAACTGCGTATTGGTTTTCTATAGGGTTGAGATTTCTTACATAGTCTCAAATTAGGAGGACTATAGTAATGGCATCAAAATACTTGGCAATGTCTGTCTAGGCCAGTTTCTCAGATAGAGGAACTCTGCTTCAGATTCTGTAAATCAGGTTTCTTTACTTGTCAGCTAATTGTGCAAAATAAATAATTGTATTGGGTAGAAATTACTTGGCAGTATTTTCGAAAGCCATGTATAATACAGAAGACAAAATATTATGCCGCAATTCCATTACCTGTTTATATGTGCTATGTCTCTATTTCATAGAGAATGACCACCGGGAAAACCTGTAACTTTACAGCTTGTGTAAGAGCTACTGAAGTTTCTTCTCTTTTCCTTAATCTTTTGATAGAGAAGAAAAAAACAAAGAAGAATAGGATAGAGGAAAAGGTGGCTGTTTATCTCTTCTTGCTTTTTGTTTCCCTAAAATATATGTTTATGTTAACTATTTTGAATAATCACTTGTTAATATGAACTATTTGATCAGCTTGTCGTTTTGTCTCTATTTTAACTCGCTAGTGTTCTTTGTGTTTAGGCTCAAAACTAGTCGTTGTTTTGTTATTTTGTTATGGTTGCTGCACAGTGCACATGGATTTGTAGTGAGACTTTAATAATATGCTAATGTTCTGATGAGTGAAAATTACTCGGACACTTCTATTATTATTATTTTTTATTATGTTTTGCTAAATTACTCGGACACTTTCTATCCAAAGGCGCCCTAGCTCCGAGAAAAACACCCGCCAGAAACGGCCATTGTTGCTGGTCCTGTTTGTTCCGAAACTTGATTCTTTACCAGGGAATTGCATCATTATTAATCCTTCTTCCTTGACTAAAAACTTTTTCACCCACCGACCTGCCACCACTAGAGGAACCCAGCTGGAAGATGCCGGTAACGGACTTCAGTGATGGCGAGATCGCGACGGAGCTCTTGAAGCTACTGTGGACAATATCCCTAAAAGTGACCTTCTGCAAATCAACCGCCGACAACCTCATATCCTACCTGCAGCAACTCCTCCCAATCATATAGGAGATCATTTATAGCGGCGTGGAGGTCTCGGCCGTCCGCCAGGCCCGGCTCGATCGCTTCTCCGAGCTCCTCCGAGACGGCATGGAGCTCGCCACCAAAGTCCTCAACTCCGTTCGTTGGAACTTCTACAAGAACCTCATGTACGCCCGCGAGCTCGAGCGCCTTGATAAGCGCGTCGCCCTCTTCATTCAGGGCCCACTCCAGGCCCACTCCAGGCCCATCTCCTCGCCGACATCCACCACCTCCACTTCTACACCGCCGAGTGCCTCGACCGCCTCCACCAGTCCAATCCCCAGATTGAGACCTCGCTCGGCTCCCTCAGGGTCGGGGTCAGACCAATTGAGGCTGGGTGGATGGAAGAGGTGCTTAGGCGAGCCGAGGAGGACGATCACCGCCAGAGTTTGGTAAATTTGGGTCTGGACTTGGGGAAGAAGAAGGTTAAGGAGATGATCGTCGGGAGAGACGACTTGGGCGTCGTTGCGATTTCTGGCATTGGTGGCTCTGGCAAAACCACTCTCGCCAGATAGTTTTGCAGAGACGATGAAATCAAATGTAAGTGAAAAAGAAAAGCTCAAAGTCAATTCTAGAAGAAAAAGAAATTTCTTGTCTGAATAAGAATCTAACTCTGGTTTTTAAATAGCTCACGTCATGGACAGAATTTTGTTCCTAACGGTGTCGCAATCTCCAAATGTGGAGCAGCTGAGGTTGAGGATTTGGGAGTTCTTGATGGCGAACGATAATCTCGGGCCCAGTTACGTTATTCCTGAATGGAACCTGCAGCGTCCAGGGAAGACAAACTTCCTAACTCTGGTCGTTTTGGATGACGTTTGGTCGCTTCAAGTGCTTGAAAGGTTGATCTTCACAATCCCCGGCTGCACAACGCTTGTCGTTTCTCGTTTCAAATTCCCCACGCTCCTTGACGCCACGTATGAAGTCGAGTTTTTGAGAGAAAGCGAAGCTCTCGCTCTGTTTTGCCACTATGCTTTTGGACAGAAATCGATGCCTCCAGATGCTAATCATAATCTGGTCCAACAGGTAACAAATAATAATAATAATGGCTTCTCAGTTCTCAATCTCAACTCAGTTAAACCATTATTTCTCTTATTTGTTTCAGATTGTCAGCGAGTGTGTAGGTCTTCCATTGGCCCTTAAGGTCATTGGGGCTTCGTTACGTCTCCAGTCAGAAATGTACTGGTTAAGTGCCAAGAACAGGTTGTTCCGTGGGGAAATAATTTGTGAATGCGACGAGAATTATTTTCTTGAGCGAATGGCTATAACCGTGAACTGCCTATCTGATCAAGTTAGGGAGTGCTTCTTGGACTTAGGAGCCTTTCCCGAGGACAAGAAGATCCCCTTGGACATCCTCATCAACATGTGGGTTGAATTACATGACATTGATGAGCAAGGAGCTTTTGTCATTCTCGTCGAGCTCACGACCAAGAATTTGCTCACCCTGGTGAAAGATGTGCGGTATGTACTCTTAAAAACTGCTTTTGATGTCCGTTGGTGCAAATTTCATCCAACACTAAAACACGTCTTTGCTCCTATAAATCGGATCAAACAACACTTCAATCAATAATTATCTTGTTATTTTTAATGTGTTAACGCTCTATTCTATTCTTGGTGTTTGCAGAGATGGAGATGGCCACACCAGTTATTGTGACGTTGCTGTTACTCAGCATGATGTTTTTAGGGACCTTGCACTGCATTTGAGTAACCCTGGTAATATTAGTGAGCGCAAGAGATTACTAATGCCAAGGAGAGAAATGGGGATTCCAATAGAATGGGAGAGGAATTCAGATCAGCCATTTGACGCTCAAATTGTTTCTATTCATACAGGTATTAGCGTCATCATTAACATAGACAAGACTATAATTATATACTTTTTTGGCAAAATTTCTTAAGTTACGAATTTATGAAAATATAGGTGAAATGAAAGAAATGGACTGGTTCCAAATGGAGTTTCCCAAGGCTGAAGTTCTCATATTAAACTTCTCATTAGAGGAATACTTCTTACCTCCCTGCAATACATGCCAAAGCTTAGGGCATTAGTAATCACAAATTACCATTCAACCAATGCATCCCTTTGCAATTTTTCCAAATTTTCGAGCTTGGCCAATGTAAGGAGTCTTTGGCTCGAAAATGTTTCGATCCCTCAGTCATCAAGTTCCAGTGTCCAATTCTCAAATTTGAAAAAACTATCCTTTGTCCGCTGCAAGATCTTTGATGAAGCAGGTTCAATGTCAGTCTCAACTTCTTTTGATCCATTGAATGACGTCCTGCTTAGTTTCTCCTGTGATCGGATGAGTTTTTCGAGTGATCAATTTAGTATATACACTGATGATATGTAACGCCCTCTAGAATTAAACATGTTTAATTATGCTAATTGTGTATATTAGTGTGCCTAAAATTGATTTTTTCTGATTAATATTGTGATTAAAGATTAAGTTTTCGAGTTATTTTAAGGACTTATAAATTACTTTCAGTTTTTCAATTTTTACCTCAAAAGTTTTTAAAAATACACTTAAATTTTAATACATTTTCCTTTTTTTTCCATTTTTCTTTTTCCTTTTTCTTTTTTTTCTTTTCTTCTTTTTCCTTTCCCTCTTTTCCTTCCCGTGCAGCCCAGCCCCCCACAACCCTCTCTCTCTTTCTTCCTTTTCTTTCCTCTGGTTCTCTCACGCCCAGCCTCTCTCTCTCTCTCTCCTTTCTTCTTCCACGCCGGCCAGCCACCTCCGGGCTCTCTCTCTCTCCCGCCGGCTGTCTCTCTCCGGTTCTCTCTCCCTTTTTCCGGTCATTTTTCTCGCTCTCAGCAGTTTGGCCGAGACACAAAAAAAAAAAAAAAAAACCGAAAATGGGAGAAACAAAGGGAAACAATGCTCCATCAACTAATTTGAGGTAAACACTTTGAAACCCACTCTTTGATTCAAATTTTAAGATTGAGAAAGTTTGATTTTGGTTAGATTTGAATAATTTTGAGTCAGGGTTTGGATTTGAACAATTGTTGTTGAAATTGATTGAAATTTAGGGGTTTTCAGTTATTGGACTTGTTTAGTTGATTGGAAACTGATTTTGATGGATTCTGGAGAATATATTTTGAAATTGAACTTGAATTGCAGGTTTGGCATTTTTCCTATTTATGCCGGCATGTTGCCGAAATTTCTTTAAAAACTTGTTTTTAAACTGAAATTAAATAGGAAACCAAACCCATGAATTGGATTTCAATCTTTAAAGAACCCCCAAATTGATTATAAAATCGTTTGTGAAATTTAGATTTGAGTCAAGGCACACTAATAGGAAACAATTAAACATGATTGAGCTTAATTCGTTGTAGGAATGCGAAATACTTCCTAAGATATTGCTTTTGTGATAAAGCTAGTGGAGAATGTCAAGTATTAAAGCTTTAAGGAAAGCGGAGGCTAGGAGAACGGAAGGCTAACCCAAGATTGATATCCGAGAGGTAGGATATTCTTGTTAGCCTCATTTTAAATGATTTTGGCCCATGAAAATGTTTTAGAACAAAACATGTTTAAAGAAAATGATTTTAAAGAAATAGCATGAGAATGCTATTAAGTTTTTCAATGATTTTGGAAATGAGATTTTAAAGAGTATTATTTTTTAAAATGAAATATCTTAAGAAATGATACAATGCATGGCGGCCTCAGAGATCAGGATGTGGGAATCGCATCCTTGGGGGCAGGTCTCGAAACCCGTACGGATCCACTTCTTGTTTAGTGGAACTATGACTCTGCACTTTTCACTAGACAGACATTTTACCGCTTCTTGTTCAGTGGTATGATGAGCTGCACACTTTCATTACACAGACATTTTTTACTATGTGAGTATTCCCTTTTTCAAAAATAAAAAAGGACGATCGGTTCCGGGTGTAATATCTTCGGACCGTGAGTACGTTTATTTAAAATGTTTTATATGATTATATCCTACTGGGCCTTCCACTCACCTTTATTATGTTTTCAATGTTTTAAACCCCTACTTCAGAGTTAGCGGTTTAGATTTGCAGCATGACAAGTGGATACCAATTGATTGAAGGTGCGAGATTCGAAGCGGTATGTTTGTTTCGAATTTACGGTTTTTAAATTCTGAGATGTACTGTATTTCTGTATGTAAAATGTATTGGTCGACATTGTCCCTGAGTTGTACTATTTTTCTTGGACTTAATGGACTGTTCTAAGTATTATTTGTGAAAGAAAGTCTCC